AGGACTGTCTGAGCTCAGGAGTTTGAGACCAGCCTGGGCAACACGGTGAAACCCCATCTCTACTAAATAATGCAAAAAAATAACTGGGCGTGGCAACATGCACATGTAGTCCCAGCTATTCGGGAGGCTGAGGCAGGAGAATGGCTTGAACTCAGGAGGCGGAAGTTGCAATGAGCTGAGATCACATCATTGCACTCCAGTCTGGGCAACAGAGTGGGACTCCATCTCAAAAAAAGAAGAGAGAAAAAAAAAAGAGAAAAAAATTTAAAAAGGTTCCTTAGTCTGCAGAGCCAGTGTCCTTTGCCTCTCTACAATATTGCCTTTAATGGACACTTTGCTTTTTAAAATTCTTCTTAATTTGGTAGTTTGATAACATATTTTCATTGATCTTTCTCTGATTTCTAATGAAAATAAACTTCAATAAGTTAAATAATCATTCATAGTTCAAGTGTGAGTGTTCTTTTTCTTTGCAAATTTATCTATCAAACCCTTCATGTGTTTCTTATTGACTTTATTGACTTCAGAAATATCAAATATGCTGACCCTATATTTCTTGTATTTATTGCAAATACTTTTCTAAGTTTTTTTGAGTAAATGCCAAAAACATTACAGAAATAAATTTTGACTATTTTTAATATGTTCAAATCTGTATATTTCCTTTTACTTTTCCTCTATTGCTTTTAGGTTAGAAAGCCCATCATGTAAATTATAAATATTAGTTAAATATATGCCCATATGGTCTTCTAGCTTTGTTTTATAGGTTGCTTTTTTTTTTTTTTTTTTTTAATACAGGGTCTTACTGTGTTACCCAGGCTGAAGTGCCGTGGTGCATTCATAACTTACTGTAGCCTGGCCTCAAGCAATTTCACCTGCCTGAGCCTTCCACGTAGCTAGGACTGCAGAAGTGCACCACCATGTGCAGCTAAATTTTTTATTTTTTTTGTAGAGACAGCGTTTCATTATGCTGCCCAGGCTGGTCTGGAACTCCTGGCTTCAAGTGACCCTTCTGCATGGTCCTTCCAAAGTGCTGGGATTACAGGCAGGAGTCACTGCACCCAGCCTCTGTTTTGTTTTGTTTTCCCCTTTCTGATAGCATGTTACGTCCATGGTATATGATACGTGTTATCAGTGAATACTTAATTCTTTTCCCAAATCTTAGCCACTTGTTCTAGCATCATTTATTGTATAAAGTTTCATTTGTTAAAAACAATATAGACCTGGGATAGCACTTTGGGAGGCTGAGACAGGAGGATCACTTGAGCCCAGAAGTTTGAGACCAGCCTGGGCAACACAACAAAACCCTGTCTGTGGTTTTTTTTTTTTTTTTTTTTCAAAGAGAAAACAATATATCGATATAGGATGCCTCTTTTATCATATATTAAGACTATGCATATATGTATATATATGTGTGTCTGTGTATATATATTTTATAATATTTAGATCAGTATAGTAGCTATTTTAAAATATTTCTCATATATATAATGTGTGTATATGTGCATATAACTTATAGTCAGCCCTTCATATCTGTGGGTTCTGAATCTGGATTCGACCAACTACAGATGGAAAATATTTGACAAAAAAAAATTTTTTTAACCTACATTCTCCTGTATACTTAAATCATCTCTAGATTACTTATAATACCTACTACAATGTAAATGCTATGTAAATAGTTGTTATACTGTATTTTTTAGGGAATAATTACAAAAAAAGTCTACATATTCAGTATAGACAAAAAATTTTTTTCTCAAATAGTTTCCATCTGCAATTGGTTGAATCCAGATTCAGACCTATGGATGTGAAGGGCTGACTGTATTATATGTTATGTACACACATATACATATTACATATATGAGAAATTTTTTGTATGTGACGGGGTCTTGCTCAGTCACCAGGCTAGAGTGCAATGGCGTGATCTCGGCTCACTGCAACCTGTCTCCCAGGTCCAAGCGATTCCCCTGCCCCAGCCTCCTGAGTAGCTGGGGCTATAGGCACGCACCACCACACCCAGCTAGTTTTTTGTGTTTTAGTAGAGATAGGGTTTCACCATGTTGGCCAGGATGGTCTCTATCTCCTGTCCTCGTGATTCACCCGCTTTGGCCTCTCTTTCTCTCTGAATTTTTCATTAGGTTTTCTTGAGTTTTCTAATTAGGTAAACATAATATGCGAGCAACAGTGCCCCTCTTTCCTGTAGTTACCTCTCTCGTTTTCATTTCATGCCTCACTACATATGCTAGAATTTCCAGAATTTCCATGGCAAATACCAGGAGCCACCATCCCAGACTTGCTCTGGACCTCAACAGGACAGTCTTGCATTGTTAAATATTTTGTTGACTCTTGGTTTAAGATATCACATTCTATAACTAGCTTATTTAGAACTTTTAATCAGAAATGAGTACTGGGTTTTCTAAAACTTGTTTCCAGCATCTGTTGAAATTGCCACAGTTTTTTTCACCATTAGGCCTGTTTCTATGTGGTATATATTAGTAGATATTGTATTAAACCATTTTTACATTCTTATTATAAAATCTGGATGCTCCGAGTGGATTAATATTTTACTATTCTACTGAATTATATTTCTTAGAATTTTACTTGGGAATGTGTTCACCTCTCTTCATAGAGTTAATTTTTATGCTATATTATCATTTTTTTTTTTTTCTGATCATGTTAGCCTCATAAAATGACTGGGTAGCTTTCCATCTTTTCTGTGTTCTGAAATTCTGGTTCAGCCTGGGGAATTATCTTTCCCTGAAAGTTTGGAGGAACTACCTACAAAATGTTAGAACACTTTTCAGAGAGCATTTTTTCTTTTTTAAATTTTTTAAATTATTCCTTGTTTATAATTGACTCATAATCACTGTACCAATTTATCATGTGCAGTGTGATGTTTCAGTGCATGCATGCGTTGTATAAATGATCCTATCAGGGTAATTACCATATTCCTCACTTTAAACATTGATCATTTCTTTGTAAAGATAACATTCAAAACCTTCTCTTCTATCTTGAATTATACACTATATTGTTCTTTGCAGAGATCATACTCTAATGATAAAGGAGTTTGGTGCAGCAGTGAAGGGCCCAAGCTCTGGAGTCAGACTGCCTGGGTTTGGATTCCAATTTGGCCATTTACTATGCCTTTGAAAGTTTACTTAACTTTTCTTAAGCCTCAATTTCTTATCTGCAAGCTCTGATACTGTTGCACTACCTCATAAGGTCAATGTAAGGATTATGTAAGATAATTTATTTAATAGTTTAAATATAGTACAGATAGTAAAAAAAAAAAAAAATTAGCCATTATTTTCCATTTACTTCAGAGTTATTGGTACATTTTGGTGTTTCCACTTTTCCTTATGACAATTATGTTAATTAGTATTTTTCAAGAAAGTTGTCTATTTAATTTAGATTTTCAAATGTATTGAAGTTGTTTATGATATTTTTAAAATCTTCATTATCTTTGCTTGCATTTTTATTTTGCAGTATTCAGATTTTTACAAAAACAGACGCATGTTATTGGTTTTGTCCACTCTCTTCTCCACCCTCTACCTCTATTGCTTGACCTGTGTTATGAGTACTATTTCTACATTTTTCTATCCTGTTTTTTTTTGGGGGGCAGTTCTGTTTTTGTTCATTTTCCAATCTCCTATACTGAATTCAGTTTATAATTCCTTTTAAAAAAGAGAGAATACATTTAATAATACACATTTGCCTCCACATAAAGTTTTACCCAAACCTCTTTTTTTGATATTTCTCATTTTATTCTTTCCTATCATTATTTTAGTTCAGTTTTGGTTTACTATTTACTAAGCAGCATTTTGTTTTATCAGTATCTCCTTGCATAAACTTACTTTTCTAATTTTTCTAAGTGTGATATGTTTCAAATATACAGAAAAGTATAGGGATAATATACTTGGAATAAATTTTCATATCTAATGTTATTGATTGTGATCAGAAAATGAAATCTAGATACTTTGTTTTAATATATGGAGATTTTTATAGTGGACTAGTATAGGATCAGAGCTTTAAGGTATATTCTGTTATGTGGTACACAGTTGTTACAAAAAGTATATAAAAATCTAATAAGTTGAATTAATCATTATGATTTTGCTTACTTGAACTGTAGTCAAGTGTTAAATATTACTGGAGGCGTTTTGTCCTATTTATAACAGTTTATCTGTTTTATCAAGATTGCCACTATTCTGTTTTTTTTATAAGTTAATTGCCCTTTATCCATGCTTTGAAAGTTTATTAAGATTTTCTGTCCAGGCGGGTATGGCTCACGCCTGTATTCCCAGCACTTTGGGAGACTGAAGAGGGCAGATCACCTGAGGTCAGGAGTTTGAGGCCAGCCTGACCAATATGAAACTGCATCTCTACTAAAAATACAAAATTAGCTGGACATGGTGGTGCACACCTGTAATCCCAGCTACTTGGGAGGCTGAGACAGGAGAATTGCTTGAACCTGGGAGGTGAAGGTTACAGTGAGCCCACAATGCCACTGCATTCCAGCCTGGGCGACAGAGCAAGACTCCCTCTCAAACACAAATATTTTCTTAGAAATGGCGGTCAGGATGGGCGCTGTGGCCCACGCCTGTAATCCCAGTACTTTGGGAAGCCGAGACAGGCAGATCACAAGGTCAGGAGATCGAGGCCATCCTGGCGAACATGGTAAAACTCCGCCTCTATTAAAAAGAAATACAAAAATTAGCTGGGTGTTGTGGTGTGTGCCTGTAATCCCACCTACTCAGGAGGCTGAGGCAGAAGAATTGCTTGGACCAGGAAGTCAGAGGTTGCAGTGAGCCAAGATCACACCACTGCACTCCAGCCTGGTGACAGAGTGAGACTTTGTCTCAAAAAAAAAAAAAAAAAAAAGGAAATGTCATGGTCAAATCTTTAATGGAATTTTCTATAGGGGGACAAATTCAATCTAGAATCTAAATTTTTCTTGCTAGGATCTTCAGACCATTATTACATAATTGCTTGTATATATTTGCCTTTTTGTTTAGTTTTTCGATGAAGAGTCCCGCTACCACTGTGCCCTAATACTCAACCTCCAAAAATCACCTTTTACTGGGACGTGGAATTTTACATCCTGCAGTGAACGCCACTTTGTGTCTCTCTGTCAGAAATATTCAGGTACCAATTATTATCTAGATAGCTATTGTATTTTATGCTGTCATATATATATATATATATGGGTTGAAAATTTACCTATTGGGTACAGTGCTTACCACCTGGGTCTAATACACCACATAACAATCCTACACATGTACCACTGTTTCTAAAATGAAAGCTGAAAAAAAATTAATACTATAAATGAATACATATTAATTTATAATCGTGCCTTAAAATTTCATCATGACTAAATCCTTGTTGGCTTAGTGAGTCAGATTATATCAAATGGAACGTGATTTTTTTAAAAGAGCATTGCCATAATTAATTAATTAATTATATCTGATGGAATTTGTTTTGTTTTGTTTTGTTTTTTTGAGACAGAGTCTCACTCCATCACCAGGCGCCAGGCTGGAGTGCAGTGGCCCCACCTTGGCTCACTGCAACCTCCACCTCCCGGGTTCAAGCAATTCTCCTGCCTCAGCCTCCCGAGTAGCTGGGACTACAGGCGTGCATCACCACACCCAGCTAATTTTTTTGTATTTTTAGTAGAGACGGAGTTTCACCATGTTGGCCAGGATGGTCTCGATCTCTTGACCTCGTGATCCGCCCACCTCGGCCTCCCAAAGTGCTAGGATTACAGGCATGAGCCACCGCGCCCGGCCTCTGATGGAATTTGTTAATAGCAGTTATCCGATTATAGTACTGTAATTGAATTTTGTTCCTTTTTTCTACTCTGGCATTTTTCAGATTTTACTTTTTATTATAGGAAAAGGAGAAGAAAAAACTTCATATTTTTAATTGAGTGAAGTATTGAGCATTAAGTCTAGTAATAGTATTCACTGTTAAGTTTAGCATTAAAAAATAAACAAATGGGGATCTGAAACATTATAAACAGATCAGGGTCTATGTATTTTCATAATCCAAATAAAAGTAGAATGCATACTTAAAAGTAGGAACCATCCATATTTTGAAAAAAATATTGTTTAAAAGGTATTACATTATTTTTCATTCATCACAATGTGTTCTTAACAAATGATTAAGAAAAAATTTTGTCATGTAATGAGAACTGTATGTGCTTTGGCAGAATTTTTTTTGCTAAATTAATCTTTATCCATTTTTCCCATGTTTTTACTAACTGCTTTATTAGCAAAGTACTATAAAGCAATAATTCAATTACATCCTCTTGTAGGTGGTTTCTTACATTTCTTCATGCTAGCTCTCCCAGGTGAAAACTTTGTAAGGGGATACTTAATACAGTTATTTCCTTGTTGAAGTAGTTCAAACAAAGAGGTATTTAGCACCAACATGACATGATAATGCAGGTTACACTTATTTGCAGGTTTTCTCTTTCCTAAATCAGACAAAACAGAATTTTGTTCTAATTTTAGAAAACAAACATTGCAGCTCATACATTTTACGTAAGATATACAGTAAGATATACCTAATTTTATCACCCAAAATCTAAAATAAATAAATAGGTAAATAATATCTAAAGTAGATTGGTATGGGGAGAAATTTGAAAAAAAAAAGTCCCATAACTTGCAGGCTACGGGGAAGGGCTTGTGTTGTTGTTGTTGTTGTTTTCTTTTACATACAGAAGTTAAAGGCAGACCGACCTTGCAGAATGTTTCAGAAACTGTAAAGTATCTAAATAATCTGTACAAAATAATCCCGAAGACTCTGACTTGGCACAATGCTCAAAGGGAGTGTCTGAAAAATAACATGCAACTGGTGAGCATCACGGACCCTTACCAGCAGGCATTCCTCAGTGTGCAGGCACTCCTTCAAAACTCTTCCTTATGGATCGGACTCTCCAGTCAAGACGTAAGTTGTCAGTCCCAACTGCCAGGACTGGGTGTTGGAAAGTGACATTTTTTATTATGCGTAGCATCTCTCATATCAGACTAAAACAAACAGGGAGTTTTTATTTTGTTTTGAGACAAGGTCTCACTCTGTCACCCGGGCTGGAGTACAGTGGTGCGATCACACTTCACTGCAGCCTTGACTTCCCGGGCTCAAGCAATCCTCTCACCTCAGCCCCCTGAGTAGCTGGGACTACAGGTACACAACATCATACCTGGCTAATTTTTGTGTTTTTGGTTTTGCCATATTGTCCAAGCTGGTCTCAAACTCCTGAATTCAAGCAGTTGCCCACTTTGGCCTCTCAAAGTGCTGGGATTCTGGAGTTTGCGACCAGCCTGGCCAACATGGTGAAACCCTGTCTCTACTAAAAATACAAAAATTAGCCAGTTGTCACATTGGGCATCTGTAATCCCAGCTACTCGGGAGGCTGAGGTATAAGAATCGCTTGAACCTGGGAGGCAGAAGTTGCAGTGAGCTCAGACCATGCCATTGCATTCCAGCCTGGATGACAGAGATTCCATCTCAAAATAAATAATGAATTAATAAATAAATTAAATAAACCCAGATGAAGCCAGAAGTTCGGGAAGCTGCTTACCCCGCCCTCATAGTCTCAACTGTTTCATAGCATTGCATTTACTTGCTTTGTCTTCAGTATTGGGAATTCTGTGAAATGCATTGTTGTGTCTGTTGTGAGGAAGCAGTAAGTGATTACATTTCCTAGTTTCAGTCACCCTAAATCTTTTGAGACAAAAACAACATTGCAATATAGAAAATTTGTCAAGAATAGTAAATTAAAAGAACAAAATTAAAGTCACCTGTAATCCCAGTACCTAAAAATAAACATGATTCAATATTTTGATATGGATCTTTCAAGTTATTTTTCTATGTGTACATTTTTATATTTTAGACAACTGGGGTCAGACTATTTTGTAACTCCCCGCCCCGCCCCCACCACTTAATGATTTGGGTCTTATTTCTTATCCTATTTTCAACCTTTACCTATGATTCTCTTTTCTTTTTTACACTTAACTTTAACATATTCTGTGTAGCTGTTTATATATCCTAATAGCTGCCTAAGTTTTTTGAACATGACAAAATGTTAATAATACTTTATACTGAAAGCAACAAAAAGATATTGAAAGCTTTTAAACAAAATAGTAACAATATAAGATTTTACTTAAGTAGAAGACATTGTGTGGAAGTTTGAGGAGGATGCAAGCCGCTGGAGAGAGGAAGAGCAGTCATTTTTCTATAGATTCATGTAGGAAATGACGTTGGCCTTTACAGTGTCCCAGGTGCGGTAGCTCTGGGTTATGTAAAGTGCAGTGTGGCCATGCAGTGGGTCATTCAAGTGAAGAAGTAAAACTACATAGAATTAGAGGACGTCAAGAAGGCTTGGAAACCTGAACACAGGCATCCCAAGTCAATGGTAGGGCCAGGAGGACAGAGCAAGACTTAGGACATCTTAGTGAATGCCAGGGAGGAGCAAGGCAGCCTAGTCCACAGTGAATGTCATGGGGAGTTTGCAGTGATACAAAGGGAATAATCCTCAAAGGAAATGACCAAAGGACATAAAAACATCCACTACTCCTATCTCATAGCCCTGTGGTATCTGAGAATGGAATATCAAATAATCTTCCCCTGTGGGTGCTGAAAGATTATTCCCATATTTATATATTTATTTAAGATTCAGGGGGTATATGTGTGAGTTTGTTTCAATATATATACTGTGGGATGTTGAGGCTTGGGCTTCAACTGAACCTTCATCCAAATAGTGAACACAGTACCCAATAGGTAGTTTTTCAACCCTTGTTCCACTCCCTCCCTCCCCACTTTTAGAGTCCCCAGACGCTATCATTCCCATCTTTATGTCCTTGTGTACCCAATATTTAGCTCCCACTTATATAAGTAAGAACATGCGGTATTTGGTTTTCTGTGCCTGCATTGATTCACTTAGGATAATGTCCTCCAGCTATATTCATGTTGCTGTAAAGGACATGATTTTGTTCATTTTTATGGCTGCACCGTATGCCATCATGTATATGAGCTGCTACATTTTCTTGATCCAATCCACTGTTGATGGGCATCTAGGTTGATTCCATGTCTTTGCTGTTGTGAATAGTGCTACAATAAACATACGAGCGAAGGTGTCTTTTGGTAGAATGATTTATTTTCCTTTGGGTATATACCCAGTAATGGGATTGCTGGGTTGAATGGTAATTCTATTTTTGTTCTTTGAGAAATCTCCAAACTACTTTCCACAGGGGCTGAACTAACTTATGATCCCACCAACAACGTGTGAGCATTCCCTGGTAAAGCCAGGCTTAAATTAAGATCAAGAGTTTAATAAAAAGATATTTATAGTCTTAATACTTTGTATTCAATAAAGGATAGAAGGCATGGGATGGATTTATTTAGATAGAACGGAAATTCCAAAGGATCAGGGACAAGGTTAGGTGGGAAGTACAGCAAAGGGGAAGAAATGCTGGGCAGGATGGATGAGTGCAGGCAAAGTCACACTGCCGAAGGGCCACTCTGGAGGCCTCAATGGCTTAGGCATTAACTGGGTTAGGATTAGGGGCTAGGATTACAGCTGGCTCTGGTCATGAACATTTCAGAATGAAGCAGCTAGTGGTATTGAGGCTTGACTGTGTTGTTATTTATGGTTCACTAAGGAAACAGTGTGGCTTCATTCAATATTTCAAATAAACTAGTGATGTAGACTGCCTTGGGTCTCAGGAAAGCTTAGTTCAGTGGATCTGTTAGGCCAGCACCAAACCCAGCAGTGAGTATGCAAGGCCCTGTGCTCTGGCAGCACCATGGGGAAGCTCAGAGAGGCCTGTACCCATCTCCTGTACCTAGAGATGGATTGTGGGGTACAGGCCTCTCTGAGCTTCCCCATGGTGCTGCCAGGACCTTCCCAGGGTATAAAGGCAGATGTTCACAGACTTCTAGCACACAGTAGAATCTAGTGAATGAAGAAGCTTCTCTCCCCAATGACAAGTGTGAAAACTGGTGTGAGATCCAAAGCACATGAGGAGTTAAGAGAATGGAAACCACCAGCTCTCTGTGTGCCAGCTAGCCCCTGGATTGCAGGATTTACACGTTATCCCATTAATTCCAGCCCCATGAAATTAAGCGTCACAATCTTTTCATTGATGGGGGATGGAAATTTGGAGAGGTGTACACATGAAAGCTAGCAAGTGACTGAATCGGAATTCAAAACCAGGTCGGCTTAGCTCCATAGTCCATATTCTTTCTGCTGCGCCAGGTTGTCACTGATGTAATCAGCACCTATAGTGATCTTCCCCTATTTTAGCTTTCTGATTTTCAACAACAAATGGTTCCAGTTATGTGTGAGGCAGCACAGCACAACGGTTAGGACATAGACTCTAGGGATTGACAGCCTGGCTGAGAAGCCCAGCACTGTGGTTTGTATTCTGTCGGACTTTGCACAAGTTGTATACCTTTAGTTTCTTCATCTTTAAACTGGAGATAATAATAGTACTTCTCTTATAAGGTTGTTACAAGGATTAGTAAACCAATACTTATAAAGTGCAATGCTTATTACATAGTAAGTGCTATGTAAATGTGTATTAAATATAAAAGAAAATTAAAAATCATTAGATTGACCATGAGAGTCAAAATAATACAATGGGATAACATGAATATTGCCACTTTAAATGTATTTCTGCTCCTTACAGGATGAACTCAACTTTGGTTGGTCAGATGGGAAACGTCTTCATTTTAGTCGCTGGGCTGAAACTAATGGGCAACTTGAAGACTGTGTAATATTAGACACTGATGGATTCTGGAAAACAGTTGATTGTGATGGCAATCAACCAGGTGCTATTTGCTACTATTCAGGAAGTATGTGAATTTCGGATATTTTAATTCTTAAATTATTAACAGCCTTATAAGTGGTAGAATTTCTGGGGAGTGGTTTTGTAAAATCTGGTTTTGGAATTGTGAAGAAATTATTATCATGCCTTTTTATAGCAACACTTGTTGTGAAAATTTGCATTCAAGGAGAATTACATATTAACTATATTATTATTAATGAGTTATTTTATGCATGTTTTATTTTTATGTCAGTTGACAATGGGGATTAACACTTTAAAGTCCCATTATTACTTTACCTCTTTCTGCGTATATTTATACTTATAGAAAGCTTACATTTGTGAGAGTTCTTTTGTGATTCATAATATTACCAACTAACATGACTTTTATGAATCACTCTTAAGATTCCATTGGTTGTAAGTAACAGCAACCACCTCAAGCTAGCTTAAGACAAGGGGAAATTTAGGATCCCCAAAACAGGGATAGAGCTGAACCTATAACTGGAGATGAGTTGACAATTTCTAAATTTCACTTTGTAAATTAGAGAGAATCTCATAAACTTAGCCTGAGTCAGATATGTAATCTCTAGCCCAGTCAGAGGAAAGTGTTTTTACAACTGTCAAGGTCACATTTGTCGGTTTCTGGTAGAAAGAAGACACTACTTCATGGACAAAGGGATTATCGTGATCTGGGAGAGATACTGAGTGATCTCTACTACATATTAAGCCAGTTTAATTTATTTGAGTGGAATATGTCTATATTTGCATCTTTGTGAATGTATGGCCTTTTTATAAAATGGAAGAAGATTATAATCAGATATTATAGATATCAGATTTTAAATAGTATTTCTGTTTGACTTGGTTAAAGCAATAACTTATTTAGAACATCAAGTGTTTCATTTAAATAAATCTTCCTATAAAATTAATAGTGTCAGTAGACAGAAACTGAAAATGAATTCTCAAAGTTATAGTTAGGTGACTTTTAATAATAAATATGTTTGTACAGTATCTCTGGGGTGTCCCTTGTACTTGACATTTGGTAATGCAGGAAGAGAGAAACTGCATTTAACCTAATAGCACCTCATTTTTCACATTCTTCCATGCCACAGCAGGGGTAAGAAAATTGTGTCAAGTAATTTCCTTCCTAGAGAAAGCTAGCTTTTTGTATGCTGTGTCTGAGTATAAACAGAGAACAGGCTTCACCAGGATATTACTTCTTGGCTTCCTGAGTATTTCCTACAAATCAAGCCTAATGACTGTGAGCAGGATTTAACATATTTATCTCAAATTAGAATTCTTGCCATTAACTCTTTTTCTAGATGAGACTGAAAAAGAAGTCAAACCAGTTGACAGTGTTAAATGTCCATCTCCAGTTCTAAATACTCCATGGATACCATTTCAGAACTGTTGTTACAATTTCATGATAACAAAAAATAGACATATGGCAACAACACAGGATGAAGTTCAGTCTAAATGCCAGACATTGCGTAAGTATTGTATTAGTCTGTTCTCACACTGCTATAAGGACATACCTGAGACTGGGTAATTTATAAGGAAAAAGAGGTTTAATGGACTCACAGTTCTACATTGCTGAGAAGGCCTCACTCAAAGTTATAGTTAGGTGACTTTTAATAATAAATATGTTTGTACAGTATCTCTGGGGTGTCCCTTGTACTTGACATTTGGTAATGCAGGAAGAGAGAAATCATGGCAGAAGGCAAAGTAGAAGCAAAGGCAGCAGGCAAGAGAGCATGTGCAGGGGAGCTGCCCTTTTTAAAACCATCAGATCTCATGAGACTTACCCACTATCATGAGAATACCATAGGAAAAACCCGGCCCCATGATTCAATTACCTCCCACCAGGTCCCTCCCATGACATGTGAGGATTATGGGGGAGCTACAATTCAACATGAGATTTGGATGGGGACACAGCCAAACCATATCAAGTGTATTATACTGTCCTTACTTATTGTATTTCGCTAACTAACAAAATATGTCCTGTGTTGTAAATATTTCTAATTAGCACTAGTAACTAGATGTCAAGAATATTCATCTCCTAATATCTACATTATCAGTGACAAAGTGTTAAAATTTGTGTTTAGTTAAAATGGAGAGTATAGGCATAACTCCTTTCTTTACTCATCCATTCAAGAACTAGTCTATGTTTGTATGGAAAGTGGGTTCTTCTTTAAAAGTAAAAGAAATAGGTTAGGCACAGTGGTTCATGCCTGTAATCTTAGTTCTTTGAAAGGCTGAAGTGGGAGGATTGCTTGATGCAGGCATTCAGGACCAGCCTGGGAACATACTGAGAGCTTCTCTCTACAAAAATTAAAAGCATGGTGGCACATGCCTATAGTTCTAGCTACTTGGGAGGATAAGGAGGGAGGATCGTTGAGCCCAAGAGGTTGAAGTTGCAGTGAGCTGTAATTGCACCACCTGCACTCCAGCCTGGATGGCAGAAGGAGACTCTATCTCCAAAGAAAAGGAAGAGGGAAAGAAACGACACACAAGAGAGCAGAGTACTGGACATTAAATCAAGCTAGGCTGTGGGGAAGTGAAAATCGGTTAGTTGGAGCTGTCAAAAGCTTAGATATTCCACAAAGCAGCAGCTGTGATTAAACAAGTGCACATTTCACACTTTCAGTTCTCAAGAGTCTTCAGATAATTCCTTTGAGAGCCACTAAAGATTGGTGACTTCTGAATGATGGAACTGTTGGAACCAATGGAACTATGAACTTTGTGGAAGTTCCTATAGAAAATATCAAACCATTATTCCCCAAAGTGTGCTCTGTATAACACTAGTCTTGAGAGATGTTCTGCAAAAAAATCCTTAGAAGAAGGTTGAAAAAATAACCAACAAAAAAGAAAAAGGTTGAGAAACACTAGACACCGTAGCTTCCTGTTGGACATTAACAAATGTACATTAACATATACTTTAAGAAATACTGGCATAAATAAACTAGTTTAACTTTGTTTAAACCAATGTTTGCAAACTGTTTTTTTTTAAGCCCTGTAGATCTTTTCTGGAACTTCCTTGTTAATTTTGTGAGGAACACCCTTTGGAAAATATTAAGCCATTTTAACCCTCATAGTGATAACTAAGGAAAAGGAAGATCTGTCTTATAGCCCAGCAGTCCCCAACCTTTTTGGTACTAACTTATACCAACTGAAAATTATCTTTAAATAGGGGAAAGTGAAGTGAATCAATGTTTTAAATTATCTACTCAACTACTAGTTTTCTATTATATCATAAGACCAAATTTAAAATCAAAACATTTGAAAATTCCTTAACCTATTCATTTTCGTAAAATGGGATACTTTTAATTTATATATCTTTCTAATTTTCCAATATTGTTTAGGTTTCAAAGTATTATATTAAACTGAGAACTAAAATATTTTAAATCTATCAAATAAAGTGTTCTGGATAAGTGATTATTAAAATGATTATGTTTTATTTAACAGATCCAAAAGCACATATTCTGAGTATTCGAGATGAAAAGGAGAATAACTTTGTTCTTGAGCAACTTCTATACTTCAATTATATGGCTTCTTGGGTCATATTAGGAATCACTTATGAAAGTAAGTTGTAAATCCATCAATTTTCTATTTGTTTTTGGACTTTATTGTAACCTATTTATCAAGCTATAGTTCTTCAAAGTACATGTCTATCAATACATGAAAGGATAATTATGTACTTAACTTACATAAATACCAAGGCAAATTTTGTGTCTCTGCTCTGCCATTAACATACCTTTATCATTGAATTTAAAGTTAAATGGTAGAAAATAATTTTCTGAATTAGTTTGTTCTCACACTGCTATAAAGAACTACCTGAAACTGGGTAATTTATGAAGAGGATTAATTGAGTCACAGTTCCACAGGCTGTACAGAAAGCATGGCTGGGAAGCCTCAGGCAACTTACAATCATGTCAAAGGCAAATGGGAAACAAGCATATTTTACTATGGTGGAGCAGGAGAGAGTGAAGGGGGAGGGGCTCCCCACTTTTGAACAACCAGATCTCATGAGAACTCACTATCACGAGAAGTTCACATCCATGATCCAATCACCTCCCACCAGGCCCCTCCTCCAACACTGAAGATCATTAATTCAACATGAGATTTGGGTGGGGACACATAGCCAAACCATATCAGTTTTATTTTTTTCACTCTTTCATCTAGCAACTCAAGACTAACTAAAAATGATCACCATCTCATATAAATCGTCAATACTGATTTTCTGTTTCCACTAACTGTGAGATGAGCGAGAACAGAATCACTCTTCTATTAATGTTGCACCTTTGGGTTTATAATGCTGGCTTGGGTTATATTGGCTTACATGTAATAAGCATTAGAAAAATAAGACACATGGCTAGACGCAGTGGCTCATGCCTATAACCCCAGCACTTTGACTTAATTTACAACCATAAGTCACTGTTTTGGGTTACTTTGATATACTTATAGAATATTTAATTGTTTATTTGGCATCTACACAAAGAATTTTGCTTTTTAAAACATTTTTGACTTTTCAATAGCACAGCCTTGACTAGAAATTACTATGAGAAACCACAGTATGTCAACTGAGAGATATATTAAGCCAAGGGAAAATGTGACTTTTTCACATCATATTGGTCAGAAAATTGATAACTTTGAAGTCTGGAAGAGGGGAAGAGGAACTGAGAGACATGAGATGATATAAAGCAGCAAACAAGAGCCACATCGTGTGTGCAGTGCTTCTAATGTGCCATTGCTGCAGGCAGATGTTTAGGGGTCTTGCCTTGGGAGATTGTAATCAGTGAAAAGTAGAAATAACCAGGACAACACTGGATATGTGCAGGTAGTGATGGCATCACTCTTTATACCAATTTATAATTTTAATAAACATAGCACCTTTTTTAAAGCTTTATTGTAACCATCACTACCCCAAAAAGAAACACAATACATATTAGCAATCCTTCCCCCCTCCCAGTCCTCAGCAACCACTGATCTACTTTCTATCTCTACAGATTGCCTGAATATAAAATTTTGGACATTTTATATAAATGAGAGCATACAATGTGTGATTTTTGTATGTGACTGGCTTTTCCCATTAGCATAAAGATTTTAAGGTTTATCCATATTGTAACATGTATCAGTACATTATTCCTTTTTATGACTAAGATTCCATTCTATAGATGTAATACATTTTATTTATCCTGTATCCATTGATGGACATTTAGGTAAAACAACCTAAATTTTAAACTATTTTTAGTTATTGTGTATAATCCTTCTCTGAACATTCACTACAAGTTTTTGTGTAAACGTATGCTTCTATTTATCTTGAGTAAACCCCTAGGAATGGAATTGCTGCATCTTTTGTTTAACCCTTTGAAGAACTACCAGGTGTTTTTCCAAAGCAGCTATACCAGTTTCTATTCCCAGTGAATAAGAGTACTGACTTCTCCATATCTATGCCTATATTTGTGTGTTTTTCACTGTAGCCATCCAAGTGAGTATGAAATGATATCTCACTGGGATTTTAATTTCATTTCCCTAATGGCTAATGATGTTAACCATCTTTTCATGTGCTTATTGGATATTTGTATATTACCTTTAGAGAAATACCTATTCAGATATTTCGCTTATTTTTAAAATTAAGTCTTTTTATTGTTGAGGTGTAAGAATTCTTTATATAGTCTGGATATAAGTCCCTTGTCTGATAAATAATTTGCAAATAATTTCTCCCATGACTTTACTGACAGCACAAAAGTGTTTCCCTTTTGTCATCTGTGCATATGTCAGAAGGCTTTGCTTATTCCAAGGTTCTGAAGACTTACTCCTGTTTTCTTTTTCTTTCTTTCTTTTTTTTTTTTTTTTTTTTTTTGAGACAGAGTTTTGCTCTTGGCACCCAGGCTGGGGTGTTGGAGTGGCATGATCTCAGCACACTGCAACCTCCACCTCTTAGGTTCAGGCTGTTCTCCAGCCTCAGCCTGCCAAGTAGCTGGGATTGCAGGCACCCGCCATTACACCCGGCTACTTTTTGTATTTTTAGTAGAGACGGAGTTTCACCATGTTGGCCAGGCTGCTCTCAAAATCCTGACCTCAGGTAATCTGTCCACCTCAGCCTCCCAAAGTGCTTTGATTACATGTGTGAGCCACCACACCCAGCCTCCTATGTTTTCTTCTAAGGGTTTTATAGTTGCAGCTCTTACATTTATGTTTGTGATCTACTTTGAGTTAATATTTGTGTGTGGTGAAAGGAAGGGGTCCAATTTCATTTTTTTTTTTTTTTGCGTATGGATATCCAGTTTAGAAGACTATTTTTTCCACACTAAATTATTTTGGCATCCTTCTTAAAAATCAGTATGCATAATTGTATAGAGTTTATGTTCAGAGAAGAGATTTCTGTGGCTAATTTTATAACTTATCAATCATGTTTTAAATGAATAAAATAGTTATACTAATTTCCATTGCAATTAAATATATAAGAGAAAATAATATTTTTGTATTTAAATAGGTTTTTGGGGAACAGATGGAGGTTAGTTACATAGATAAGTTCTTTAGTGTTGATTTCTGAGATTTTGGTGCACCTGAGCAGTGTACGCCGTACCCAGTGTATAGTCTTTTATCTCTCACCTCCTCCCACCCTTCCCCCCCAAGTCCTCAGAGTTCATTGTATCATTCTTATGCCTTTATGCCTTTGCATCTCATAGCTTAGCTCCCACTTGGTGAGAACATACAATGTTTGGCTTTCCATTCCTGAGTTACTTCACTTAGAATAATGGTCTCCATTTCCATACAGGTTGCGGTGAATGCTATTATTTCATTCTTTTTTATGGCTAAGTAGTATTCAATGGTACATACATACCATATTTTCTTTATCTACTCGTTGACTGATCGAAATGTGAGCTGTTCCATATTTTTGCTCTTGCGGATTGTGCTGCTATAAACATGCATGTGCAAGTGTCTTTTTCAGACAATGACTTTTAGAAAAGAATAACAAAAATAACAAAATGTTATTACTGAAGGATGGTGGAATTATAAGTCAATATTTATAGTTTGTATTAATATTCAAATTTAAAATAAGCATAATTTACTATTATAATCAGAAAATATCTTAAAGGGTTATACATAATCATACAACCTTTTAGAAGGTTGGGAAAAGATGAAATCTCAACTGCATAACTGTAATTCAAGTCTTGATTTAACCTCTAAGCATAGGAAAACAATGTTTCTTCTCTAGATAATTCTCTTATGTGGTTTGATAAGACCGCACTGTCATATACACACTGGAGAGCAGGAAGACCAACTATAAAAAATGACAAGTTTTTGGCTGGCTTAAGTACTGATGGCTTCTGGGATATTCAAACCTTTAATGTTATTGAAGAAATGCTTTATTTTCACCAGCACAGCATTCTTGCTTGTAAAATTGAAATGGGTAAGTATAGTAATATAGAGTTTTCTTTCACTCCAGGGAAAGAATATAAGGCTATTAGTTCCACTAGTGGGAATCATATAATCAAATGCTTCCTCTGTATACAGTCCTGTGAGAGGGGCTACAGAGCTTACTGAGGAAGGAAAAGACTTGGGTCCTGCTGTCAAAGTTTTGACCCTAGGAGTAAAATGTACTTGGGGAAGCAGTATTAAATTCCTTAGCATTGTTTTATGTAAATTTGTCTTAGATTATTTGATACAGACCTAAATTGTGGGGAAGTCAAAACTGATATATTGGAAAAGGGAAAAGAAAAAGAAAGAAAGAAAGCCTTCAAGAAGAGGTGAAACTTGGTTGGGCTTTGAAAAATGGATAGAGTTTATATAAATAAGAAAGTATTTGGGGGAAGAGTTTTGACATTTCAGGCAAAGTGAATGTCTCTCAACCTTGCCTCATCTTTAAATAAATCTAATTTTAAATACGTTAGTTTTAATTTTTTCACAGCTTAAAAGCTGTTAATTATTACCACTGTGCCCTAAAACTGTCATTACCACCACTGTGCCCTAAGCTGCCTGCTCACAGGGAGCCTGTAACAGTGGTGTGCTGGGTAATCAGCTCACTTCATAGTGCCATGGTCAATTCTGAAGACCATGTCCACCAGCAGCCTCCAGGAATCCCTTTTTATAACCTACTTGGAGTCCATTTAAACTTTTGAGACTTTTAGAAACTAGTCTCTAGCCCCAATTTCTAGGCCTTCTCCTGGTTCCCTGTTTTTTCCCATTCTTGCTCAGCAAAGCAGCTTGTTCTCAATCAGGCTGGTCTCTTCTTTGTCCCAGGCAAGTTGTATGCCCATCCTCATACTTGCACCTTTATGTTTTCCTCTTGCCAAGAAGTTTTTCAACTTCTTTCTTTCTTTCTTTCTTTCTACATCTTTAATAAACTTTTCATTTTGGGATAGCTTTACATTTACAGAAAAGTTGCAAAGATAGTACAGAGCATTCTCATCTATCCCACAATCAATTTCCTCTATTGTTAACATATTACTTTAGTATGGTACATTTGTCACAACTAATAAACCAATACTGATATATTATTATTATTAACTAAAGTCCACACATTATTCAAATTTCCATAGTTTTTATTTAACATGCTTTTTCTTTCCAGGATCCCATCCAGGACCCCACCTTATCTTTAGTCATCCCTCCTCCTTAGGCTCCTCTTCACTGGGTGGTTTCTCAGACTTTTCTTATTTTTGATGGCCTTGACAGTTTTGAGGAACACAGGTCATGTATTTGATAGAATGTCCCTCAGTTTGGGTTGGCTGATGATTTTCTCATGATTAAATTGTGGTTATAAGTTTTAGGGGGAAGACCAAAGATGTGAAGCCGCATTCTCATCACTTCACATGGGCAGTATGCACTGTTCATATGACTTATCACTGTTGACTTTAACCTGGGTCACCTGGCCCAAGGTAGTGTTTGTTAGGTTCTCTGCTGTAAAGTTACCCCTTTTCCTCCTTTCCATACTGTCCTCTTTCTAAGGAAGTCACTATGTTGAGTTCACACTTATAGGGTAGAAAGTTATCCTCCACTTTCCTGTGAGGGGAGTATCTATATGAATTACTTGAAATTCTTCTACACAAGATACTTGTCTGCTTTCTCTAATTTTTCTTTTTTTTTTTTTTTTTTTGAGATGGTGGCTTACTCTATTGCCCAGGCTGGTGTGCAGTGGTGCCATCTCAGCTCACTGCAACCTCTGCCTCCCAGATCCCAGCTATTCTCCTTCCTCAGCCTCCCAAGTAGCTGGGATTACAGGTGCCCATCACCACGCCTGGCTAATTTTTTGTATTTTTAGTAGAGACAGGGTTTCACTGCGTTGGCCAGGCTGGTCTCAAATTCCCGACCTCAGATGATCCCCCCACCTCAGCCTCCCAAAATGCTGGGATTACAGGCATGAGCCACCTGGCCCCAATTTTTAAATTTATTCAGTCATTTATTTATACCCTCATCATTGTGGTTTTGTTGTTATTTGTTTATTTTTTTGTTTGTAGCACTTCCATACTTTTTCCTTCCTTTTATTCTTAATTTCCTCCAATCCTCTAAATCTAGTATAGGTTCATGGTTATTTATTTTATACTTTGGATTATCATCTAACATATTGCATTCTGTAATATTTTGCTCAAGTCATTTCAGCTTTGACCATTGGGAGCTCTTTCACTTGGCTCCCATGTCCTTTAAAATATCCTCATCATTGTGGCTTTGTTGTTTGTGTTTGTTTTAAACACTTCCTTACTTTATTGTTACCTTATTTCTTTTCAGTCTTAATTTCACCTAACCCTTGAGACCTGGCTTGTCAAGCAGTCTTCCTGACTCCTCTCATTCAAATGAGTCTTTACTCAATTTAACATACCCTACTGGTTAACAGTTTTGCTATCATTTCAGCCATTATTGTTTCTGTCCCCAACTAACACATGAGCTCCTTAAATAAAAAACTATGTTTATGCCTTTTTAAAATAGACCAATCAGAGATCTTTAAGAGCCTAAGATATGTGTCATTGCAATAAGAAAAGTAAAATATAGATTTGATCTCCCTTATTAATAAGAAACCCAGTTTTATTTCACTATTGAAATGATTGCATGTTGTCTTATCCAAAAGGTGTATTTGAAATAATTTAAATTTTAATCACCAGTGCTTTTAATTATTATAGTTGACTACAAAGAAGAATATAATACTACACTGCCACAGTTTATGCTATATGAAGACGGTATTTATAGTGTTATTCAAAAAAAGGTAACATGGTATGAAGCATTAAACATGTGTTCTCAAAGTGGAGGCCATTTGGCAAGTGTTCACGACCAAAATGGCCGGCTCTTTCTGGAAGATATTGTAAAACGTGATGGATTTCCACTATGGCTTGGGCTCTCCAGTCATGATGTAAGTCTTGCTTCATTTTCCAGAAACTTTTCAAATCTGTTATTTTGAGGGTTAGAAACTTGAGTATAAAGTATTAATACAAAGTACAACATTAGATTAAGTACTGGAACTCCATTTGTATAGCATAGTGCTTTCTTACCTTTTACAACACAGAACAAATAGAAAAATTTTACTGTAGAATGCACTAGGGCAAATGATCAGGCCATGCCAAGGGCCCAGTGGATGAATATCTCAACAACACCTCTATAGCCTATTTAGAACAGACAAATTGGAAAGCTGGTGAAAATGAAATCACATAGAATCAGAAAACCCTAAGTTTCGGTACCAATAGCAGATTTTCCATTTATGTGCTGGGTGATCATGAATGAGCAAGTTATTTAATCTTTGCAACCTTATTTCCTCATGTAGAAAATCAGGGTAGTAATAATTTCATTGAGATTTTAACACAAAACTTTATACAAGGTGCCATCTAAACTTCTCCCTGTGGTTAGGACTAATAAATATATACTTTCTTCCCACTTTTCCTCTAGAAAATTATACTACTTAAGATTAATTATGCTAGTAAACACTTATGTGCCACTATTTGAATCATATTACTTATTTACGTACTTATAATGAGGTCTTGTATACAAAAAATTGTTGTCTATTGAGACTAGAGTTGTAGTTCTAATTTAAATAATCTTCAGAACAAAGTGGGGAAACATTTTTTTAAAAGAATGGCAAGATTAGGGCTGGGCATGGTGGCTCACACCTGTAATCCCAGCACTTTGGGAGGCCAAGGTGGGTGGATCACGAGGTCAAGAGATCGAGATCATTCTGGCCAACATGGTGAAACCCCATCTCTACTAAAAATACAAAAATTAGCTGGGCGTGGTGGCGCGCGTCTGTAGTCCTAACTACTCGGGAGGCTGAGGCAGGAGAATCGCTTGAGCCCAGGGGATGGAGGATGCAGTGAGCCAAGATCGCGCCACTGCACTCCAGCATGGCAACAGAGCGAGACTGTCTCAGAAAAAAAAAAAAAAGAATAACAAGATTATAAATTCAAGGAAAAATAAAAAGCAGTCTTCCCATTTTGAGTTTCTTGGGAAGTGTTTATCTTTTCTAGACCCCTGCTGCTTAGTGGCCTCTGTAATGTGAAAAATGTAGCCAGAGACAAAGCACAAAACTATAAAACATAAAAAACAGTATTCAGAACAATATGAAGGTTGGGATTGTAAATCTGTAATTGTGGCAAATGGAGGCAATTTGCATGTTGTTTAATTTCAAGTGTTATGTAAACTCATCCTTAAAAATAAATCTAAAGACAAGGTATAATAACTCTGTTTCTAAGTTTAGAGTCTTCCATAAACTGTGTCAGAGCAAATGTTCCAAATCAGTGCATTGGAATTAAAGCTCTGATTTTAAAGTAGGTTCAGACCTATAATACTATAAGCAAAGAGGTAATATTCTATTATAATATTTCTTAAAGTATATATGTTATTCTTTGTATTCTTTTTGAAGTCATACATCTGGGTTAGGGTTATCTCTATTCTTCTTAAAACAGGGAAGTGAATCAAGTTTTGAATGGTCTGATGGCAGTACATTTGACTACATCCCATGGAAAGGCCAAACATCTCCTGGAAATTGTCTTCTCTTGGATCCAAAAGGAACTTGGAAACGTGAAAAATGCAACTCTGTTAAGGATGGTGCTATTTGTTATAAACCTACAAAACGTAAGACTTGAATTTGAATAACAGTACATTTACTAAAATGTGATATAATTTATGTACATAATTAAATTCTCAGTGGAATTTTTTATTTAAAGATTTATTCACAAATTCTATGAAAATAATTTTGAGGCTGGGTACAGTGGCTCATACCTGTAATCCCAGCACTTTAGGAGGCCGAGGCAGGTGGATCACAAGGTCAGGAGTTCAAGACCAGCCCGGCCATCATGCTGAAACCCCGTCTCTATTAAAAACATAAATATTAGCCAGGTGTGGTAGTGGGTGCCTATAATCCCAGCTATTCAGGAGGCTAAGGCAGGAGAATCACTTGAATCCGAGAGGCAGAGGTTGTGGTGAGCCAATATCATGCCATTGCACTCCAGCCTGGGCAACAAAAGCAAGACTCCATCTCAGAAAAAAACAAAACAGAAAATAATTTTGACATGTTGTAAATGGAAACAAGTACAGTATAACCACTCAGAATTTGTTCCCAAAGACTTTCATTTGTTCTGTCACCAGGTAACTTCTACCCTAGAATTTGTGAATTCTAATTTCACTTAACAATGTTTTTCAAAGGCTGAGATGCTTCTTTCAAAAAAAGGGTCCCATAGGATATAAAATTGGGAAATACCTCATGAGATTTACTGTATTAAAGTTTTTAAGAGTTTTGTTTCTTTTCTCCCCTCCTCTCCTCTCTTCTCCTCTTCTTTCCTTTTCTTTTCTTTTTTTGACAGGGTTTTTTGCTCTGTTGCCCAGGCTGAAGAGCAGTGGCATGAACATGGCTCACTGCAGCCTCAACCTCCTGGGCTCAAGCAGTTCTCCCACCTAAGCCTCCCAAGTAGCTGGGACCACAGGCACATGCCACCACATCCAGCTAATTTTTAAAATATTTTGTAGAGACAGGGTCTCACCATGTTGTTCAAGCTGGTCTTGAACTCCTGGGCACAAGCAATACTCATGTCTCAGCCTCCCAAAGTACTGGGATTATAGGTGTGAACTACCATGCCCAGCCAAAGGTTCTAAGAGACTTTCTATAAAAATGAAGTCTGTTTAACTTTGTGTAACCCAGCATTTTCCAAACTTATATGATCCTTAAAATTTAAGGGGAGAGCCCCTTCCATTAGAGAATGGACTTAGGGTCACCCCAGTGGATGAAGCATAAACCTTGAAGAAGATCACAAAAAACCAAACTACTGGAGGTGGCAGGGGCCTGCAGGACAAGCAGGGAGGTAGTGGCATTGTTTTCTGAAGCCTCTGGCTCCCAGTGCGGGCCACGTTTTCTGCTGTGAAGAATCTTGAACAGCAGATTCAACATTTGTTTGAACAGATTCGGCAAAAGAAAATGTGAAAACTTTAGAGAAGCAGGCTAATAAAAGAAAGGGAGAACAATATAAAGAATGAGGAATCAAGGTGCAATCAAGAACTGACTTCTCAGTTGTTAGACACAGAAAACAAATGTAACTTTTTAGAAAAACAATTGGAATACATAAGAAATAAGGCATGCACAAGTGGAAATATCTGTCTTGGAGAAACAGACTTTACAGGTTGGAGAATAAGGTGACCAGACATAAGTTATGTGCTCTCCCAGGTTGAATAGTGGCTCCTCCCCAAAGATTCTTGTCCAATTGGAAACTTAGAATTGGCTTTATTGATAAATAGAGTCTTTGTCAATCTAGGTAGTTGAGTTGAGGACATATTATGGTGGGCCCTAAATCCAATGACTAGTGTTCTTGTAAGAGGGAGATACAGATACACAGAGGGAAGAAGGCCACGTGATGTCAAAGGCTGAGATTGCAGTGATGGAGCAACAAGCAGTGACAGAGTGACAAGCCAAGGATTGTTGGCAACCACCAGAAGATGAGAGAGAGGCCCGAGACAGATTCTCCTTTGGAGCCTCCAAGGAGAAACAATCCTAACACCCCCTTCAATTCAGACTTCTAGCCTCCAGAACTGTGAGAGCATACATTTCTGTTGTTTTAAGCCACCAATTTTGTAGAATTTATTATGGCAGCCCAAGGAAACTAATACAAGAGCTAACTTTAAAAACCAGATCTTCAAAAAAACCAGAGAATAACAAGCATTAGTGAGGATGTGGAGAAAATGGAATCCTTATGCATTGCTGGTAGGAATATAAAACAGTGTAACCACTGTGCAAAATGGTATGGCAATTTCTGAAAAACATATTCATAAGATGACTATGTCATCCAGCACTTCAGTATATACTCAAAACAACTGAAAGCAGGGATTCAAAGAGGTGTTTGTACAACCATGTCATAGCAGGGTAATTCATAACAGTCAAAAGATAAGGGCAATCCAAGTTTCCATGGATGGACAAATGGATAAGAAGCCTTAAAAAGGAAGGAAACTTGGTGACTGGGTGCAGTGACTCACACCTGTAATCCCAGCATTTTGGGAGGCTGAGGCAGGTGGATCATGAGGTCAGGAGTTCAAGACTAGCCTGGCCAACATGGTGAAACCCCATCTCTACTAAAAAAAATACAAAAATTACCCGGGTGTGGTGGTGTGCCCCTGTAATCCCAGCTACTCGGGAGGCTGAGACAGGAGAATCACTTGAACCTGGAAGGCAGAGTTTGCAATGAGCCAAGATCACAGTGTTGCACTCCAGCCTGGGCAGTAGAGTAAGACTGTGTCT